ATTTTTGCATGCTGAATTTTGTGTCCTGTCACACTGTTGAACTCATTCAGTCAATCAAAAGTTCTTCTGGCAGAGTTTTGGGGGTTTTTAGGGTAAAGGGTCATAGCACCTTTAAGCAAGGGGAGTCTGTAGGTTGAGCTTAATCCCCATGGTTGTGGTGCGTGCTAAGGTGGCGGGGTCAGCCGCAGGACTGCATGCACATCCCACATCTCAGATGTTTTCATACCAGGAAGTGGGGTTTGGGAGGGTCTCAGCTGTCTGGGATGCCTTTGGTCCCCTGGTCCAGAGACAGTCAGGACTGTGAGTCCTGGTTTAGGGGTCACCACAGGATTAGCAAGACTTTGTGCCTAAGGGCATTGACTCAGAATGTTCCCGAGCAGGGCTGAGGTGGTCAGGCACACAGAGTCCACACCAGGACATCAAGCTGTGGGCACCCAGTTCTCTTCCATCCCCTCCGGGGCACTCCAATTCCAGAATGCTCTTCCCAACACCCACATGTGGCTGGACTGTGCAGGAGTCACCCATGTCCCAGCCACCGCTTTGGTTGCTGGCCTTTCCCTCCACCTGGCTGACTTTGCTTGCCACAGCTGGGTTTCAAGGCCCCGTCTCTCTGAGCCTGGGGTCCAGTCCCCCAACCCCAGCCACTGCGGCATTTCCCATTCCCTATTATCCTACCACCGAGACCTGGACCTGAGCTAACTCACACGGAGGATTCCCAAGAGAGAGGTGGCTGCCGCATCTTGCAGATAGGGGAAGTTGGGGAGCTTCAAGCTTCTGTTCTCCCACGTAGCCTCATCAAAAAGTTTAAATCCACAGAGAAAGGTTGGGAATTACCTCTCCTGTGCCAGGTCACTTGGCAGAATTTGGGTCACCCTCTGTGCAGGTTGTTCATCTGTCCAGTACCAAGGTTTGCATTTTTAAAGAGTATACTGAGACGCTTTTCTTCAGTCACCGAGGGGTGACTCCCCACTTACCTGAGCTGCCCAGCATTCGACACTGAAGAGTGACGCAGGTCATGTCACTTACTCTAAGTATCTGTTTCACCTGGTCACTATCGTACTGAGTTGTGTTCCAGGTTTCTTTCTCTAGGTTTCGCCCCGTGACACCAGACATCGTTCCCCACTGCCTCCTGCCTTCAGCCCCGACCTTGGCCCTGAGAAGCCCACACTTGTGCTGCTTGTCTTGGGCTGGTTCTTTAACCCCTCCACTGTACTTTCCTAAGTCCTCCCCTCTCTCTGAGGAGACCCCCAGGATTGCACACTCCCAGGCTCTGGCCCAAACTTAGCAGAGCAGGATCTGCTTGCAGCAAAATCTCCAGTTGGTTTTCATGGACCTCAAGTTTTTTCCTTTTCTTTTCTTTTTTGCAGAACTGGGGATTGAACTCAGGCCCTTGCACTTGCCAGGGAAGTGCTTATTCTACTGAGCCATCTCCCCAGTCCCTCAAGTTTTGCTTAAGGTTCTCAAATATACCTCCCCAGGCCCACATTCTTCAAATTTCACTTTAGCAACCCAGTTGTCTAGTGTGCATGTCCACGTAGCTGCCGCATGGGGAGCTCCAGGTGTCCAATGCCAAACGCCCCAGACACTTCTCTCCCACTCTGCTACCTTTCTTAAGAGAAGACACACAGCACACATGGATGGGTAGGAGGTAGGAGAGAGACACAGACTGGGCATCAGCCTGCCTTGTCCAGCAGCCCAGCAGCTGAAGACCACCATCGGGAAATACGCTTTCAGGGTTTCCAAGCTGTGAACCTGGAAGCGCTCTGGATTTTATTGTGGCAACAAATTCAAATTTCTTTTTAAGCCGTGACAGCTGAAACTGAACAAACAAAAACAAGCAAGCTAACAAGAAAACTCCTATGCAATCCTATTTTGGGCCTGTGCTCAAAACCAAGTTATCATCAGCTTTCTCCTCTCTCTTCACCTTCATCTCAAGTCCTATCAGGACCTACTGTCACCACCTCTAAGACCTCATCTTAATCGTCTTTTGCAAGTGACTACATGCACCCAGGAAGTTACAGAAACACCTGGTATCCCTGCCTCTGTCTCCTCGTAGTAAAATCTACCTAGCAATGGCCACACCATTTTAAAGCACTGTTCCAACCATGGATATCACCCGCCCCATTCCCTTTAGACTTGCCTGGCCTCTTGCTATTAAAACCCTCACCAAATAGGTTTCTGGGGCCAGCGAGATAGCTCAGCAGACTTAAGCGCCTGCTTTGGCAAGCACAAGGACCAGGGTTTGATTCCCCGGTCCCTCACACTGGCCCAGCCCCTGAGGGCGCACTGAGCCAGCACTGAGAGTGGATGTGGTGGTGCACACCTGTAATCCCAGCACTGGGGAGGCTAAAAGCAGGACAATCACCACCAGTATGATCTGCATAGTGAGACCCTGTAACAAATACATAAAAATTTTAAAAAATAGGTTTCTGAGAGATCTCAAAGTGTAGACAAAGGTGGCAGTGACTGTGGAGATTGAAAAAAAACGGGCAGGTTTGAGGGATGTTTAGGAATTCAGTTAGCAACGCAGCGCAGCAGAGTCCAGTACCGAGCAAATTATCTCCTATTTTCCATCAAAGGCCTGGTCTTGCAGCCTCACACTGCACATCTGAGTTTGCAAACTGGCAGCCCAGGGGTCAGGTTTGTTGAATATACAATGCTTTAAAACAACAAAAAAATTGCACTGTCTAAAAATAGTAATTACATGCCAAACTTAGAATTCCTGCCTTAAAAAACAGCAGCAATGAAACTACATCAAAACGTTCAGGTGAAAAAAAAAAAAAAAAACAACGTTCAGGTGGTGACCACCGGCCGGCCCTCCGCAGTCCTCAGCGGCAACGCCTGCACTTTGTCGTCTGCAGGTTCACCACAGACAACAGGCTACAGACATCTTAGAAGCCAATTTTAAAAAAGGGATTTAGCCCGTTATTTAATTCCACTTCCCTGTAGTATATAAATCAGATAAATCTTCACAAAACTTCAATTCCTCATCACCGTCCCCTGCCAGCTCTTGAACAGGACACCCTAGATCCACCCACTCGGCGCCCTCCGGAAAATGGATGTTACAGTCGCCTCTGGTTTGGCCAACCACGGGGCCCAGGTGGATTCTGGAGGAAGACGGAGTGCAGTGGACTCTCGGCGCTGGCTCTACCAGGCAGAACGGCACAGGCGCTGAGCTGCTGCCAATGAAAGCAGCCTCTCCCTGGGCCCCGGACTGCAGGGGGACAGGTGCTCCCTTCACCTGACCTTTTAGAGCACAAAAGGTTCCGCGGGATCACCTTCCACCCTGCAATTCAGGCAAATAAGAAATTGTTCTAATTTAGTATGTGCCTGTTTTCTGCGGCAATCTGACAGATATATGTCCCCTGCAGCTGAGTGCCACCCAAGCACGCTCAGACATATCCGTCAGTCACTTCTTAAAAGTGCCACTACTGGAGAGGTATTTGTGCCATGTAAACTTGATTTTACATTAAGAATGTGAGGGCCTGGGATACAGCTCCGCGGCACAGCACCTATGTGGCAAGTATGACGTGAGCACCATTCCCTATACCAACAAAAGAAGTTTTGCAATTTTTATAAGCCTGAATTACTGTTTATAAACACTTAACCAAGATACATGTGCAGCAGTTATAGCTTGGGAGGTGAAAAGGTATTTCTTCTAAAACCATGTGCACTGATCCTAAAAATACCCATTTTGTATCATGATCCTTCTCCGGTAGCCTGGCCTGTCAGCGCCATCTGGTGGGGAGACGATGTATCTACACTCGCCAAATCCTAATCCTGCATCTTCTGCAGGGTAATGGGAACACAAGGATATTCTCCAAAACACGAGTCTTAGCCTGGCAAGGCAGTGTACAAGGGTGAATCCAGCTCCCTGGGAGACTGTGAGCAGGGCTGTAGGGCTAAGCCCAGCCTAGGCAGCCTAGAACTTAGCAAGACCCTGTCCCAAAATGAAAAATGACAAAGTGCTCCAATTAGACAGGGGCCAGGGATTCAGCTCAGGGGCACAAGCACCTGCCTGGCAAGCACAAGGTCCTGAGTTTGATTCCGGGCACCTAAAAATAAATAGAACCAGGGAAATAGCTCAATAGAAAAAGCACCTGCCTGGCAAGAGGTCCTGAGTTCAATCCCAGTACTGGAAAAACAAAAACAAAAATAAAAATAGGTAAATAAATAAAATAAAGTCTAAGGGCCAGCGAGATAGCTCAGCAGACTAAGTGCCTGCTTTGGGTTCAATCCCAGGTCCCGCATGCTGCACTAGCCCCGCCCCAGAGCACAATGAGCCAGCCACCTAGTCCAGGAGTGGTGGGGCACGCCTGTAACCCCAGTGCTCAGGAGGCTGAGAACAGGAGGATCACTACGAATCCAAACTACAGAGTGAAACTTTGTACCAAATACATAAATGAATAATAATAGAAAAATCTAAAATTTATCATAGAGATATGCCTCTTGGTTTCTAAAATGTTCTTCTATTCTATGTTTGTATGACAGCCAGCAACTCTTCCCAAGACTCTGCAGCGCCCACTCTCTTCCCCACACCTGAGACACTGGCATACAAAGATCCGCTGAATGCTCGACCACGTAAATTACATATCTAAATATATACACACTTTTTAGTAAAGGACAGTGTTAGTGTGAAGCGCGTGTACAGCAGCAGCTGCACGACTATACATTCTAGAGGCTTCCACCGGCCTTAGACGGCAGCCAGAATCAGACATGCCAACAACAGGACACAAAGGCTAAGTTTTCTACAAATGGACATTGCAACATGTATTCCAAAAATACTGAAACATGGAACACTGCTTAACTGATTTTAATAACATGACATCAAGCCCCTAAAATTGACATAATCATTATGCAAAATACATAGCTGAATACTGACTTCTTTTAAAAATATAAAATAAGCAAAGACATGTGAAAATAGGCAAGTTTCCATTAAATAAATGAAAATTTTAAAAAAAGAAACTTTTCTTTTTCATGTCATTTGAAGGGAAATTATCATTTTAAACAATATTCAAGTTTATTAAACAAATTAAAAAATGAGTTATAAAATGTTTAACTTTCATCAGCTTCAAGGTTTATGTTGCTGCCAAATTTCGCATATAACTGAACTTTCAAATCTGCTAACACCCGCTGAATGGATTCGACTCTGGACTCTAAGGCGTCGATTTCTTCTTGCAAATTTTTCTGGGGAAAAAAAAAAGTTTAAGTTAGTTCTACTCAACTGGATGACTTCTGAACAACTGTGTTTGAACTAATATGGGGAAAGAATTTTCTCAACTCAGGCAACTAAATAGCAAGGATCATTAGCTCTAAGACAAACAATGAACATTTTTAATTCAGATCCATATTTATTTATCATAGAAAAATTCACAGTGTTTTTTCCATTTGTGCTGATCTAACAACCATTATCACACTCTAAGAAGGAAGGAGCCACACACACGGGCTTCTCTAAACAGCTCATCATGGCTGGGCGAGCTTCAACACAGCCTCTCCTAACTTCCCACAGAAATAACTATGCAGCCTGGCAAGCACAGGGCCTGAGTTCAATCCCTAGTACAAAAATAAATGAAAATTCAGAAGAAATGATAAAAATTCAACTCCACCAAGCATTAGTAGTAACAACTTACAGTGAAAATCTGGCAGAAATTTTCACTAACGCTAAGGCCACTGATCGTTGGAAAAAGTCCTTCCTTCCTAAGACACAGCTTCGCCCACAGGACAAGTTGCCTAGGTACAAAGAATCTTCCAAAACATAACAAAGAAATGAAAATCATACAAATCCTACCCACTAAGATTAGGAGCAAAAGAATACTCAGCATCGGCAATGTTTCTCTTAAAAACCTGGCCAACAGTCAGGCGTGGTGGGACAGGCCTCTAATCCCAGCGTGAGGGAGGCCGAGGCACGAGGATCGCCTTTAGATTACAGCCACCCTTGACTATATGGTAAAACCCTGTATTTAAAAAAAAATAATCTGGCCGACATACATGGCCCCAGCCCAGCGTGCAGGCAGTCATCCAGGGCAGGGGTGCCACAACAGCAGCACCACAGCAGGCTGCGCGTCATCGCTGGACCTCCAGAAGGCTCGCCAGCGCTAATGGAGCAACTTGTCAGAAATACAGATTCTAACCAGGCATGGTGGCGCGTGCCTGTAATTCTAGCACTCGGGAGTTTGACACAGGAGGATCTCTTCAAGTTCGAGATCAACCAGGGGGCTATCAAAGTGAGCATAAGGTCAGCCCAAACTGCCCAGCAAGGCCCTGTCTCCAAAAAAAGAGAAAAAAAAAAAAAAAATTACAGATTCTGGGACACCCCCGAGACCTCTTGAATGAGAACTTCTCTGGGTTGGATCCAAAAACCTGAGTTTGTGGAAAGCCCTGAGGGTGACAGTGATGGTTCCTACCTAAATGTCCCCCACCAAAGCCTCCTGCGCTCACAGGCAGAGCTGTGGGGGGAAGCCGGGTCACAGGTATGTGACCCTGGGATTAAGAGCCTGTGGTCATTAAATTTCTCAGCATGGTTCCGGGTGTGGACAACAGAAGCCCCACCCTGGCTCTGGGCAGCACCAATCCATAGGGCTGTAGCCTGGATGGAGTCCAAAGGGAGCACGCAGGCAGGCGGGCGGGCGGGCGGGCTGCTGCTGCTGCTGCTGCTGCTGCGCCTGCTGCTGCTGCGCCTGCTGCTGCTGCTGCTGCTGCTGCTGCTGCGCCTGCTGCTGCTGCGCCTGCTGCCTCCTGCCCGCCCTGCCAGGGACTGTTTCATCTCGACCAAGCCTAACCAACCACCGCCTCGAACCCAGGCTATTATGGACTGAAGCCTCCACAAACTATGAGCTGAAGTAAACCTTTCTTCCCTTACTGTACAGATGTTGGGTCTCTCATCTCAGCAATGAGAAAAGTAATGCCAACAGGATCCTAACTCTGATGTGTACTACAAATGTGAGAACCGCTGTTACAAGACAGAAAAACAAATAAATAAAAAATATAAAACAGAAAGCTGCTAGAAAGTAGGTAAGACTTTTACACCCAGATTACCCAATGTACAAACTCCCCGATTCACAAACATCCGAGCAGCAGTTTCACAGGCCTGAACAGACCACGCGCCGTGTACACAGGCCGCAGACACGTGAGGGTTGCAGGCCTCTGCACAGCTGTGCCCACCGTGCATGCAGTGTGTGACCAGTGCACAGGGCAGGCTGTGCCAGAGCCCCGGAGGGCAGGAAGCAAGAGGAAAAGCAATGGGTGGCATCAAGGAAGCGTAACACGACGTACACTGTGTTCTTGGGTCCAAGTCGTGAGAGATTCACTTGTCGCACTTACAATGAGTGCGACTTAGAATGTTCTCCTGGAAGGAACTTGATTGTGAGTGGTGGACACGCTGCACGAGAAGCTAAGAAAGTAGTCTAAAACCACAAGCCTCCTCTCATCCCTCAGCCCTCGAAGTGCCCAAAGCTCTAGGAAGGAGCGCGCAAACGGCAGCCTCAAGTTCCCAGCTACAAGGTCTCACGGGAACACAGGCATGCAAACTCACGCACACATGGCCCTGGCATAGTACTGTGGCAGAACTACGTGGCCCCCAAAGGCCCGCTTCTCTGCACTCCAGCCCTTCACCCAGCTTGCTGTCCCCTAAGTCGGCACACAGCACAATTTACCCAAACTCAACGGACGGGGCAGCCCAGGATCCAGCACAGCCTCAGACGTCCCCCAGCGGCTCCAGCAAGTGAGGCTCTGGGTCCTGTCCCTGCACCGCGGTCCCCTTACAAGCCCTTATACACGCTGCTTGTTCTGAGTGGAACCCAGGCTCCCTTTCTGACTGGCACCCACGAACTCTGTGGCTGTTCTGCTGTCACTCCCCCAGTGGCCCTCTCCAGCCCTGCTGTCCTCACCAGGACAGTCGCCCTGGCTTTCCTGAAGGCCCCTCCTTCCTGACACCACCTCCTACTCCTGCACAGTTTCTCTCCTTTAATTTTCTCTTTGCATCGAGGCTACATGCTCCATGGACACCGGAAGCAGGCATTCTGTTGTCCCTACAGCCCTTGTACAAGGCACAACCTGACCCCGGCAAGCACTCAACAGACACTTCTGGAATGAAGGAACAAATGAATGACCAAACTAAGGCCAGTGCTTACACAGATACCGTTATGGTTGTGGCCAGATGTCCCCCAAGTTCTCGTGTCATCACAGGGCATTGTAGGAGGTGGCTGAATCTAGATGTGTGATCGATTCACAGTGCAGTGCTGGGATTAAGGGCAGGTGGCTGCTGGACCACTCACCGGATGGACTGCACTGCGCTAATCCCGGCAGGCTGAATATGATAAAGGGACTAAAAGAGATTTGTCTCAGTCTCTTGTTGCGTGTGCCGTTTTCCGCCGCCATGAGCTGTTGCCCACTGCCATGCCACCCTGCCTTGGGGCCAGCTGATTATGCAAGGAAACCTCCACGAACCGTGAGCCAACCTGACCGCTCACCCGCTAACTTGGGAGTCAGTGTTTCTGTGGTGGGCAGGCTTTCACGATAAACACGGAAGCCATAACCTGCACTGGAACACTTCTAACAGGAACAGAGCATTTTGATATGAATAAAAAATTAAATCACAAAATCTGACTAAGAAAGAAATGACCTAAACACAATAGACACGAAGGCTTCTGCACGGGAAGATCTTGCAGTAGCGGGGTTATTCTTCCCAAGGCTTATTAGAGGGGGCGGCATGCACAGAGCGCCTCAGGACATGTTCAGTGCCTGTGAACTCACACTCAGTGTGGCGGGCAAGCGAACGAGAGTGATTTCCCGTCCCGCCTCGTCACTTGTCTCAAACACTATCTACGAATGAAATTGCCTAGCCCAGTACACTTCAATGATTACTTCATCAAAGCAACTTGCTCAAGTGAACACAGACTTTAAGAAAGCTCACTGTGATATTACTATAGTAAAACATTGCAAACACTTTAATGTGAATAAGCCATAGACAAATGAATGCCCATCAACATGGTATTAAGGATATTAAACAAATCATAGAAAAACGATGCTGTTAAAGCCTATTGGTGGGGGCAGGGACATGGCTCCATAGAATAAGCACTTCCCTGGCAAGCGCAAGGGCCTGAGTTCAATCCCCGGTTCCGCAAAAAAAAAAAGCCTATTGGCTCAGTTACTTTTCTCTCACTGCTGGGACAAAAAACCTGCCACCAAAAATTAAGAAGTTTATTGAAATAAAGGTTTATTTAGCTCACAGTCCGTGGAGGTTTCGGTCCATACTCAGCTGGCTCCAAGGCAGGGTGGCACATGGCAGAGTCCGGAAGAGCCAAAAGGGAGGGGCAGCGGCAGAGGGCAGGGCTCTCCCCCCTTACGCTGGGTTCAGGCTGCCACCCCCGGCAAGTGTAGCACTCACAGCCATAACCCCAGCTCTGGATCACCCCACGACTGCGCGCGGCTTTGGGGGACAAGCAGACCCAAGGTGAAACACCCATGTACCTGACCCCGAAGACTCTCCAGGGTATCAGCTAAACATGAAATGGCAGACCTCCTCCCGCCAGAATGTTAACTGCCCAAAGTGGAAAGCAAAACTTCCTGGAGAAACGGAGAGAGGGCTGACAGAAACATAAGAAAATACACACTACAAATGGTTAGCTCTGGGCAGTGGGATCAGGGAGAAATTTTCTTTTTTATTTTATAATATGCCGTATTTTCTAAACACCTTGAGTGCAGTTCCACAGTCAGGAGACCACTTGGTGCCTGCCTCCCTGGATCTAAGTCCCGCAGCCTCTGCAGGCCGCTACTCCCCATCCTAGGTTGATGCAGTAACAGATCGCGGTTCGGACTGAATACCTTCATGCGGGAAAAGCACCAGGGCCCACGGGGTCCGCGCAGCGGGCCAGCGGCAATGGCTCGCGGCCGCCACTGCTCCACCCACGAGGACAAGCGCGCGTCACCACGCGAACCCACATTTAACACTTAACCCGCCTCCTGCGTACCTTTGCTTCTTCTAGCATTTCCTGTGTTTCTTCTTGAGAATGGCTAATGAACACGTCACCGATCTGATACGGGATCATTACGCAGTCGTCGTCTGCGAGCATGATGTCATCACACGCATCTTCTAAATTCTGGAGCTGCTTCTGCGAACACAAAGCAAGCACTGGAAGCATTCAGAATTCCCTGCCGGAAGAGCCGACTTTCATTTTCGGAAACCCACTCCCCGAGAGCCTTTCGCACCAAGGTCTCGCTCAGGTGGCGCTTCCCAGGGACCGCCTTCGCCAGCACACTGTCCTGCAGGCTTCTTGGCCTGCTAAGGCCCCGGGCGCTGCGGCTGCTGTGCTCCAGCTTCCCACCCTGTGCCTTTCTACTGCCCACCACAACCACCACCACACACAGTCAGGAAACAACCTATTTCCTCAGTTGTCCTGCCGAGGTGTAAATGAACAGCAACTCTAACTCCACCAATCACATGTGCTTCAGCTGGCCTTCAACGCGGGAGCACTGAGGTGCCTGGGCCTCGGAGGTCCAGGCCTGCGGCGGCTCAGAAGCAGGGGCAGCTCCGCGGAGGCGGCAGCCAGCGTGGACCCGCGGGGACCTCGCAGCTGGGCTTCCCTGCCTCCTCCGGGAGCCCAGCCTGGACACAGGCCCCGCATCGATTCTGTTCTACGTCTCTTGTAAAGGGGCTTTCAACATAACCAGCATGGTAGGCATCGTCAGCAACAGGGCCCAGGGGAGGACAGCTGCTTGTTAGCGGGGTCCAGGGTTACAGAGGTGTAGCACGAAAGCGCTTCTTGTTCTGAAGTAGGACAAACATGCCCAGTACCTTTTTTAGCTCTATTTCTTCCTTTAGCTCTGTGATTCTACTCGTGTTCCGTGCAAATTTGTTTATCTTTTGTTGATCTTCAAAAGTGACATTCACATCTTCTGCAGCCTAAAAAAGATTTTCATATTTGTAAATGTTTAGTGCGGAAGCTGCCCGTTGGCTATTACTAAGATATTATTACTATTATCTTAAGAATATTATCTTATTATTCACATAACCCAGATCACTTGCCCCACAGCCAGGCGTCCCAGGCTCCTCTGCAGAGTAACGCAGCAAACCCTTCAGTCATCCCTGCTGCACGAGCTTCATCTCTGCTCACAGATCGACAATCCTTTCCTACAGCCTAAAGGATAATTCTTATACTACTAAAAAATTCAAATATAGATACATCCTAAAAAGATGGAAGTTGGCTGACCTTGGGCTAAGAGCACCATTTTCCAAGTCAGAACACTGTTTCAAGATAACCCTGGGGGCCGGGGAGATGGCTCAGTGGAATAAGCGCTTCCCTGGCAAGCGAAGGGCCTGAGTTCAATCCCCGGTTCCGCAAAAAAAAAAATAAAAAAAGATAACCAGGAAGCAAAAAGTTAGTGGCCAATTAACGTTTGCAAACGCTTCACACTAGGTTATCTTCTTCTAGAGACTTAAAGTTTGTGTGAGTCGGCTGTAGTGACCGGAAGTCTGAGTCCCTGTTGCCTCCAGCCCGGCTGAGAAGCTCGCGAGAGGAGCACTGGGCACGCCAGTGCTTACACTCAGGCGCAGTAAAATCACTCTGCAGCGCCCGTGTTAGACGTCGCCAGGTACACAGGACTCACAAGATGAGGAAAATCGCACTTAGCGTCAAATAACCAACGCTTAATAGTTGAGTCTGCAATCTAGATGTGGAATGCCTGCCCGGCCAAGTACCCGTGCAGGCCTAACAATGACAGACGAGGGGGCGGCGCTGCCAGCTCTGCGGGTGCTCCTAGCCGCAGACGGAGTCCCCCAGCACTCCTCCAGATGGAACGATGGGGCGCGGGGCGTACACAATGTGCCCAAAGCCACAAAGATGTTCTATGTATGAAAAAAGAAATTAAATCCCAGGTTCTCCTCAGGTTTCCCCTTATTTATAAAACAGGAACAAAGGGCTTAATAATCAGCTTAAGCTCCAGTCACAGATCGACAATCCTTGCCATAAGTCCTAAAAATTTAGAAGTTGGCTAACTTTTGGCTAAGAACACTTTTCTACACCGCTGTGTATAAAACCAGTCCTTACTGAAGGTTCATCATATACATAAACATTCACATACAATTCATCATATAATAAATGCAGTTTTCCTAAGGATGAGTGGCTCTTCCGCTAGGTGCACGGCAGCCGTCCCCCACCCTCCGGCCTGGATGCCTGTGACTGATAGGTAACTTCACAGCACACCCCCATCTCCCCAGAGGTTGAAAGGCGAGCAGAGCCCAGGGGTCCCAAGGTCGCGGCAGACCCCAGAAGCCAGCCCTCCTCCGTGTCAGACTCTCGGCCCATCCCCAGACCACAGGGTGCCCTCCAGTCCTGCACACCATGAGTGGGACCCGTGGCTGCTCAGCCTTCTAGTTTTTAGGAATATGGAACTGGGGAGCACAGACCTCCACTGAAGAAACCTCAAGAGCACCTTCATGCGGGCGTCTGGGCACGCATGCCACCTCCCCTAGGTGAGAACTGCCGACTCCTTCAGCACACGGAGAACAAAGCATTCTACAGAATCC